ATGAAAAGATGTGCATTTATGAAATTAGGTTAGAATTTTATCAAGTATGTTTTTCTTCCTAACGTATAATTAATTCGTATTTCGTTTATATTTATATATTCGTACTTCATATACATTTACATATATTACGTAGTTTATATGACTTATCGTAGTTTATATCTCGTTTAATGAACAAGCTGACATTGACGATGTTGATTTCATTAAAAAAAAAAAATAGCAATTGAACTTTCATTTAAAAAAAAATATCTCAACCTTCGGAATACAATGATTAGGTCAAACGTGTGACCATTGAATTCAAATGTATCTAATTTTTATTATCATTAAATTAAGCGAAGAATCTAAAAAATGACCCGCTTATCGGAGAGATTAAATACTCCCAAAGCGATAATTAATTAATTTATTAATTTAAACGGAATAAATTACGCGGTTTTAAAGGATTTATTCGCGTGCACGATTTGGCGGTAAATACAAATAACGCCTTGGCACGTTGAGAATCATTGGCGTGGAATGATATCACGAACTCAAGGTCTAAAGTTTAAATCGTATAGTAGGTGTTTAACTGCACGATGACGTCAGATGCTACCGCATGCTACCGTAGTGAACACGAGTGTCTGGAAAGAGAGAGGTTGAAGTTCGAGGCGCGCATACGTTGAAATAATCGTAAACACGCGTGTATTCTTTTCTATATTTTTCTTTTCCTTTTTCTCTCTTTCTTATATGTACATATACGTATATTATTCAACAGTGCGTATATATACTTAGGATAATTTCTCTCGTTGAACGCGCATAAATACTCGTACATTATCGTCGTAAGATCAATTTCTTTGTAACCGGCTACATTGGGATGAAAAGTCGCGTGACCGTGGCACGGTGAAACCGGTTCGAACCAGACTTGGGCTGTGCCACTCCATCCTTTCGGTTTCTTTCGTTCTCCTCGTACGAAACTCTCTTCTTTCCTTTTCCTTTTTCTCCTTTCTTTCTTTTCCCTTTTTTTTCCTCTCTTCTCTTCTTCTTTCACTTCGAAAAGAGAAGGAATGCGCAGATTACGTAATAACAAGATGACTCGCGACGTTCGGTAACAGATCGATTTTTCCATTTAATGCGTTTCGCTGACGTAACGTTGGAGGGTGTAGTAGCACAGTTGGTCAGTAACAATAACATTAAGCATTCTTCTGATTATTCGTTATCGTGGTTTCGATAATGGAAACGTTTCCTTCGCGTAATGCAAATAATACCTCTACCACGTGTTCTATTTTCTGTAGCTTTATCTTTTCGATTAAAACGAATAGATTCGTTGATCGACGTTTACGTCGGTGGAATGTGTGTGCCGGCGTAACTGCACGCACGATTAACCGTTGAATTGATACGAAACGGATTAGTACTAGTCTACAGAAGTACCATGCACGTCCACTGAAGGCAGTAACGGTGATTCTTTTCTTTGAAAGGTGATTGTAATGATTGAATAAAATAATAATTTTTTATTGCTACGTAATTAATCATTTATTTATAATTATTTTTTATTATAAATAAATATTATATATAATTTTATTTTTTAATTGTAATTATTTATTTTTCTTGTCACGAAATAATGGCATTATTACTCTACCTTTATCTTTGTGTTGAATTAGCTATTGATAAAGATGAATTGTATAGTAAAAGTAAGAGAGATAAAATAGAGACGAATTTTGGATATTTATAATTAATAATTATTTAAAAAAAAATCTTTTTTTAATAATTTAAAAAAAAGATTCACCAATTTTAGTAACATTTTTAGAAATGTGGGATGGAAATTATAGAAATTTAAATTTTTGCAATTAAATGTTTTATGCCGCAACACATACGGCATCTGTTTGAAGTAAGTGTCATTGCTCAGCGTACTGTCTTTCTCGCTCGTTCTTATTATATCTATTTCCTTCCTTTGTTAACGAGTTTTTAACTCGACCGTATTTCTGAAATAATAAAATCAGTTATATTTGCTCCATGAGAATTACAATATGGACTTTTGACTTACTGTAATTTAAGCCATATTATATATATATATTTACTGATGCATTTTCCATATCTCTGACGACATGTTAATTTTTTATTATTAGATACAAAATTTATTCTTTATAATTCCTTTTAAAACGTTTAATCTTATATATGAATGAATTCTTTCAAATTTCTTTTAAATATATGCACAAATTACACAGAACTTGACAGATCCCAATACGTTATTGCATGTTTATTTTCGTTAACTACACAATATTGTCGCACAATGAGGCAACAGTTATCTAGAAAGTAGGTCTCGGATTTCTTCTCCTTTTCGATTTTATTCATTTCACTGGCTCGTGGAAAATGAAAGAGAAAAACATTTTTTAAAAGTGAGATAGAAAAAAAATGTCAGTGTTTCGTTTTACAATAACTCAAGTTTCTAAAGAGACTTTATACTTGTCTGTTTAAAAACAATTTCTGGAATTGGTGGAAACAATTCATCGAGAATTAGAATTGGAAAAGGAAAAAAAAAGAAATTAAAAAGAGAAAGACAGAGTCGTACGTTGAAATGAAATAAAAAGTTGGAAATGAAAGTTGTTCGTTTATAATTGGAGGCTATTCGCAGAATTTCTCGTCGTGCAAAGTTTCGCCGTCGAAAAATATCGATTAAACATTTTCCCCGTAAATCCATAGGGATCCCTCTTGAAAGTGAGAGAGGGTTAGCATTTACGCCACGGGGTAGTGGCAAATAGCCCCATTGAGTGAATGGGGTGGCGACTATAGGCAAATTTTTCGTTCTTCCTATTTTACATAATTTTTTTTTTTTTTTTTTTTCTAACAAAGGAAATAATTTTGTGGATAATTTTATTTACGAAAAAAAAAACGGAATTATAATCGAAAAGTTTTTAAGACACGTTTTTAAGTTAATCGCGATGCAGTTTTATCGCGATTGAAAGATAAAAGGTTAACAAGAGCAACAATTTTAGATCGAAGTTAATGACATTTTGATATTTCCTGATATTGTATCTACTCGATTATCAAGTAATCTCGAAAATTGGCAAGTGTCAGCCATGGTATATTCTTTGGCGCGATGCCATTCGTGCAACATGTGAGCCGAATGAAATAAGTCAACGGCTGAAAAAGCATCACCAAAGAAGTAAGTTATTCGTCATATATTATTATATTAGCTTTCGTGTCATAGTGATGTTAAATATATTACGCAAAATTCCATAAGGAAATGTTATTTTAATGAAAATTTAAATTAATTTGATGAATAAGTTTCTCCCATTGAGAATAACCTTATTTTTTTTTTTTTTTTTTTTTTTTTTTTTTTTTTTTTTTTTTTTTTTTTTTTTTTTATATCTTTTTCTTTTAGAAGAAATAAATGTCAGTCAGCTATTGTCGATTCGAAAAATATTGATTTCAAGGTCAAGGTTATCGATAACTTAATACACTACTGTATAAGATGCTTGTATAAGATGACCCAGAATGGGTGATTTAAATGGACAGAGAAAAAATAAATCGAAAAAAATAGAATAAAATTCATCATCTAAGAAATTTTGTTCAAAAATTTGTCAATTATATGTGAATTAATTCCCGTGTAGATATAAGTGAATAATTAACAAGAAATTGCGAATGTTAGATAAAATTTGTTCACATAAAATTTTCGAAAAAATTAAAATTGAAAATTTAATTAAATATCAATACACAGAGTATCTGATTACCATTTAATTTGTATATATATTTTTATCTCTTCGAAAATGAGAAAGCAATAAAATATTTTATTCTACGTTTTTTAAATTTTTACGTGTTTTTAAAATTTTTTATTGATAATTTCATATATATCCACTCAAAAAGTTTTTAAACTCTAAAAAAATTACTTTTTTATTTTTTTTTTTTATTTATTTCAATATATAATCTTGGAACGTCTCGTATATGTATTATAGTACGATATATATCTTAATAACATTGTATATTGAAATATTGTATCGTAAAAAGTATTTTACCAACAAATTTAATTACTTTTTATTGAGAATAAGAAATAACAAATCTCTATGAAATAAAAAAAATATTGGCATTCGATTGTAAAAAAATATCATAATATAAGTACCCAAATATATAAAGATGTAAGCTATTCGAGAATTCTTAGGTTCGGAAAAAAATTCGGACTATCTCGGAAAAAATCGGGCGGATTCGGACGGTTAGTCGAGACGTCCGAATTCTCGAGTAACCTGACAATTGTACGAGTTCATTGGAAAAATATGTCTTAAGAAATGAAAAAAAAAAAGAAAAAAGTGTTTTACTTTCCATTGAAAATAATTTGTTTTATATATCTAATATACTATATCTTAAATTCTTAGAGGTATATACGTGTCTTAAAAATTGTAATTCCAATTCTAGAAATTAATGAGAATAACTCTACAAGGTTAAGTAGACAGTAAGCGCGATAATTAACTACATCTCTATATTCGCACTTAATTCGCCAGTAAAAAAAATGTCTTTATTAAGTCGATGTAATTTCAGGAAAATGAATATTCATATTTGCTATTATGTATTAATATTTACATTATATAAATTTACATTATATACGTAAAAATTATAATCTATTTTTTAATGTGTTTCTCTTATTAGATAAATTTTTTTACTTAACAAATACTATATATTATATTTGAAAATCGTTTAACCTTTAGCTATATATATGACATAAATTTGATTTTTTCTTTATCTAAAAAATTTTTTATCCGAATGTGATCATCTTCCAATTCATTTCAGATAATCAATGTTTCTCTAAAATATTTCGAAGGATTTCTCAATTTTTCTAATTTTTTTTTTTTTTTTTTTTTTTTACAGCGAAGGTAGGGAAATGGTACGCGTCTCGTTGCTAGGTCCACAACCTTCACCGACAACACCCGGCGTATTTCAGGTGCAGCCTATCGCGATATCGAGGACTCAACCGATCGACATGGACACCGTTCCGGCCGAACTCCTGACCACGCACACCGAACACACAGCTCCCGCCTATCACACGCAAATCAGGTAAGCTCTTTCTTTTTCTTTTTCTCGCCTCGCCTCGTTCCGTTTCGCTTCGTTTCCTCTAGTTTTATACTTACGCCTTCTCGGTTACACCGACAAATTATCGATTATCACGGTGTATGCCTCCCTGCAACAAATACGGTTATTTTTTTCACTATTAGAAGCGGTATACACGGTGATGGTAATCGGAGAAACTTGTTACACTTTAAGCAGAACAAAATGATGTTACGCATCGTTTTTTTTCTTCGTAAATTCGCTTGACCTTGTAAAAAACAAGGTTAAAAAACAATCGGAAACAATTGGAAGTTTTGTAATGGAAAGAGGAATGGAATTAGTTTTTAAAAAAAAATATGTTATTATGAATTATGAAATTGTTATTCGTTTAAAAGAAAGTAATAATAATTAGTAATCATTAAATTCTTTCTTGCATTTATAAAAGAAAAAAAATACTAAATTTTCATCAATAATAATCAAGAATTTAATAAAAAAAATTTTAATAATAAAAATTTATTATTATTATTAATATTAATTTTATTATTATTATTATTAATTTTAATAAAAAATTTTTTAATAATCAAGAATTTGATCTTTCGTTACATGCCAAGAGGCAAAATATATCCGGATCTTTTTTTGTTGCACAAAAAATTAATCAAAATATGTTTCACAATCTCTTTTAAATAATTAGAAAAAAAAAAAATGGATCATCTCTTGCTTCAAGTTTATGAAAAAGATCTGGATGATCGAATGAGAGCCACTACCTTTCTTATAATTAGCTCCCTGCACACAACACTAGTGACCCCCGTGTTGCTCTTAATGGACCGGAAGTGACGTGCCTTCCCCTCAGTCTGCACGCTTTTCTCCGTCTTTCTCTTTCTCTGTCGAACGTTTACCAATTTACGTTTCTTACGCTACAGAATGTTGTACAGAATGTGGACCGTCAGTGAGGTAACAACGCATTCACGCGTGCGCCTCTCTATTGCGACGCGATCGTTTTATGAATCATTTGCTGCTCCTCGATCGTTCTCTCCTCCTCCTCTTCTCCTCTTCCCCTTCTCCTTTCCTCCTCCTCCCTCTCTTTCTCTCCTGGTTTCGTTTCTTTTTTTAAGTCGTAATCCGTCTCGAACGTATCGTTTTACTCGTTCGGTGTACGTTTCCATCCGAGATCCAGCCGTTGAGTATCTGTTTTCCACGATAAAAGCGATTCCTCGATGCGACACACGTAACGTGTTGATCTGGGAATAAAAAAAAGGAAAAATGAAAATGTAAAGAAAAGAAAGAAAGGAATTTTCTTTAACAGGTCGAGATATATATATATATATATATATATATGTAAGGGTGCAATGTCCCGATTGTTACACGGACGGTTTGTATCTTACGTATAAAACCGTGTTTAGATGATACAACATTCCGTCTTTAAATAACGTGACCCTCTTACGCAAGCACGCGCTTAATAGCTGTATCAAAAGTTACGAAGGCGTTACGTTAGTTACACACGTTTGTCGCCTTGACTTCGATCCGTATTCGATGATGATTCTCATCGGCTGTTCGTTCCGCATATGTAATCGTTCGACCGCCGCGCCATTTAAAAACCGTTAAAAACCGGGCAACAAGTGTTGTTTCAAATCTTCTTCCGGATTAATCAAGTTATTTTCGAAGCGATTGATCTTTCTATTAACGCTTTCACGAGTTCTTCTTCGGAAGAAAATTGTTGAGGATAATTGTGCAATAATTATTGTATTCGTATTTTATATATATTTTAAATATATTGTTATTAAAATTTATCAACGTTGTTTAAATATTTTTGATGATGAAAACGATGTAATTATTATTTATTGTCAAAAATTTTATTTTGCAGTGTGATAATTAGATTTATTTTTAATCAATTTAACAATTGAATGACGTAAATTAATTTTTAATTTTACGTATTCGTTATTGTGAATTATTTTTGACCCAATAACCTTTAAGGATTAATCATTATAGATTTATCAAAATGTGGAAAAAACTCTTTGTGAACGAGATTATTGGATAAATTTAGCGTTCATTTGATATCGCTCACTTTTGAATCGGCAAACTATATTCTGTGAGGATTAATCTTTACACGAAGGGTTCGTTAGGAAATGAAAGAGTTTTTAAAAAAATGAAAATTAGATAAGTTTAATATTCATTGATGCGGTTCACTTTTGATCCTAAACCCGTATTCAAAAGATTCAGCTTCATACACTGAAAGTGAAATAATGTCTTTTATGAATTAAATAAATTATGGGTCACGTTTGATCCGACAATCAAAAGTTAAATCTTAATGCAACGGATTCGTTAGAAAGTAAAAAGTTATTTTACGAATAGAACAAGATTGTTTTTAGATTTATTAAAATTTTAATTAACAATTTAAAAAGTTTTGTAACGATAATAATAATAGTCAAAATGGATGCAATCATTTCTTGATTTTTTTGTTTCATTTTGGATAGTTCATTTTAGATAGGAAAATTTTTTTCGTCTTACGTAATCCAAATTTTATCTTAAGGAACATTCGTTGTATATTAGAGAAGCTAAGTAGAGAAGCTAAGAAGTGTGCAACCAGCGAGGAAACATTTTAGAACACAACATGGTTTGTAAAAGCCACGCTCCATCCCACCGTTTCCTTTCCTATTGTTCGCCTTGCTCTACCAGTTATCTACGTCGCAGCCGATTACGTAACGTGTATCCTGACTTCTCCGTTCCACTGATTTAGTGAAATCTTGCGTGTATCTTCTTTTTTTCTAATTGAATAAACGTATAATATGTTAATTATGAACACGATAAATTCTCTGCTCCAAAAAATCAAATATATTTAAAAGTATATTTAAAAACTTTATTTTTGATCAGTATTTTATATTTTGGTGATTTCGACTTACTTATATTTTGACATTGACATGGTTTTTTTAGCGAAAAAAAACTCAATTAAATTATCTAATAATTGACCTCTCTAAAACAAAATATATTAGATTTATTAACCCATGAGCTGTCAATATATTAAATACAATTGAAGAGCAATTGAATCTATAGGATTTTCTTGTAATTTTAGTAAAATTCTCTTCCTGACAGTATTTTATAACGTAAATGTAATGACAGGTTTAGTATCCTCAAAACGATATATTATTTTTTAAATTATAGAATTTATATATATATTATATATTATATGAATTATTATATGAATATATACTTATCCGAGTACTTAAACTCTCAATATAGTAGGATAAAGAGTCTTAGAAGATAGCATCAGGCAATAAAAGGTTAAATCGTCTAATAAACTACAAGAAGGCAATTCAATATCCTTTTTTATATATTTCGCGGTATCAATGCCAATTCAATATTACGAGTATCGCTCGCACTTGATGGTATCCGTAGTAGCCAATATACAAATAGCATCGGCATTGGTACTATTAACAGTACCGCCATCACGAGGAACACTAGGTACTACTATCCTAGTGGTGGAAGCAAGAGGAGAACAGAGGGCTAGTAGGAAGCAGCAGTGGGAGCAGGAGGAGGAGCGGAGGAGAGTGAGGTGGGGCGATCGATATAGCGTGGGTGGATGTGCAGAGGTGCGGTAGGACAGCCGCCAGTTGTGCTGTCGGCTGCATCAACGAAGAATCGTGCTCTCTCTCAATCGGTTGGCAGTGCACCGCGTTCTCCTTTATCCGTGGTTCACAGTGTCCGGTTGGCGTATATGTATACCTGAATGCATCGAACTTTATTCGATGGGAATCTATGGTGATTTCTGCCAGCTCGATATACGCGATTCCTTCTTCATCGACGAATATATCCATCTTTGGTTAATTTTCGGACGATGGCGGTGCAATATCTATAAGAATCATTGGAATGTATCACCGTTCGGTTCCAACTACGCTCTTTGATCATTGTACCGTAACAAAAACTTTTTTCCGCAATTTTCTCAATCGAAACTTAAAGATCAAAGATTTTCTTTTAAACGTTGCGTATAAATATACAAAATAATCTTGGAAACATAAAAACATTTCTTAAAAGATCCGTGAAAATTATCGCGATCGTATGTTACGTCGGAAAAACATACGTCTCGCGTGTAGGATCATGATTCGCTCGTAATAATTTTAAAATTGTTTCGAGAAGAATCTTCGTGTTGTCGCGAATTTATATCTTTTCATCTTTTAAAAATATAATCGAAGATTCTATTTTATAGATAAACGGAGAAGTTTAAGCTCGACGAATTTCTTCGCATGATTTAGAACTAGGAAGCAAAGTACGGGCGCGCATAGTTTCGAATAGTCGTAAGCTTCAGGAAAATCTTCAAGCGAAAACTTGAAAATAGAAACGAAGTATGCACGATACGAATAGCATAGCGACGCGTCTTTTTGTGGATACCAAAGATAGAAACTAAAGAAAAATAAAAAAAAAAAAAACTATTCCTAGAACTATGACCTATTACAATCTATTATAAAAGACAATATCATAATAAAAATTATCGAAGCTTTCTCGAAGTTACGAAAGGGGAAAAGTCAACGCGATTGCCGTGATGGAAAGGTCCATTCTTATATCCAGTTCTATAACTTGAAATCGAACGTTCCAAATTTTGAAATTTTTCTCGTAAAACGAATCGATGCGTGTAGAGCGCTAGGAATAAACCGGAACCAATTTTCTTCGTCGTGTACAGTGTTGGCACGCAATTTTATGAAATAGGTGATGCAAATTGAATGAAATAACAAGCCGGTGCTCTATCGTCAAGTCGATGTTGAGGGAATCAATTGGTACATCGCGTTAGTGTCGCGACAAACATACTGGCCTACATGTCTGTTTATTGGCTCGTATTTAACGTCCCCCTTTGCATTCTTCAGCTGAATTTTCCTGGTCCCTCACGACTACAGACGAGACGACGCAGTCGCGGAAAAGGCGACCGCAGCCTTACGGCGATGGCGCAGTTGTACGCACCCAATGCATCCCTCGTCGTGATACACCCTTTCACATACATATATACAAATTAATCTTTGTCTTTTTTTTTTTTTTTTTTTTTTTTTTTTTGCATTTTCATTGTAGAAATAATATTCTGGTGTATACGGATTCTTGAATTGATTCTTGATTCGTCAATTGTTCTAGCCGCCTTTTATGAAGAAACTTAAAAGTTTCAAGTGTATTTTTTCTGTATGATCTTTACTTTTCAAAGTTCTTTTGTAATATCATTAATTAATATACGAAGCGAATAAGTCATAATCTTGAATATCTTATTTGATTTTGATGATAGGAAAGGTTTTGCAGAATATATAAAGTCATGTGAAGATTATCTTTATTTTTTAAATGAGATAATTTTTAATGAATTAATTCACATCGATTTTTCTTATAAAAAAATTATTAATCTATCTTTGACTAAAGATTGTAGGTTTAAGAAATATTTAAGTAATTGGAATGGAATTTATTATGTGAAAGATAAAAAAAGAATAAACATATGAATATCTTTCATATTCAAATTTCAATAAATTTTATAAAATAAAAAATATTTTATACTAATAGCTTCTTATTAAAAAAATTCTTGTTTAATTCTTTATTATTATTTTTTTTTATAAAGATCAACGTGCTATATCGATTAATGCATTAAAAATAATAATTTAAAAAAATAAAATTGACCTTCATATGACCTTTTATATATATATATATATGCAAAATAATTACTAATATCAAGTGCCCTTCTCTTATTTACTCATTTATTAAATTTTTACTCGAAATGTTTTTTAATATTATATATTAAAAATAAGTGATATTTCAGGTAATTTATTTTGTCCATCTTGTGTATATTAATTTAACCTTTACCTTTTTTCTTTGCATTTTCAACTTATAATGCACACATTGTCCAATAATTCAATATTTTGCGATAGTTTGAAAATTCATTTATAATTTCCAGTTTTTTATCTTTTGATTTTTCCTTGATATGGAAGAAAATTATCGATAACATTTCAATTCTTCAAGATTTTTCCCAATAGAATTTTTGTTTATGAACAATACTTTACAATTATTGTGACATGTTTGAATCAAAATTTCGAGCATCTTTTTTTTCGTCAAATCTTTTCTTTTCAAAGTTTCTTTGCATGTCGTTTAAAGGGTTTCTACTTCAACAATTATCGCAATCAGGGCGATGATATAAAAGATAATAGTGATATAAAAGAGAAAAGTTTAGACAATGGATTAAACGAGAGCTCGTTATCAGGAAAGCAGTGTGGAGTGTGGTTTAAGTAAATGAAAGTGATTATTAAAAGAACATTACATCGAACGATAAAAAGTGGAAAAATTTATTATTGCTGAGATATAACAGATTTCACTCGCTCTATTGATCGCAAGATCAATTGAAATCCTTGCCAATAAAAAAGAGATCCATTTTTGACAATTTTTGAATTATTAACGATATATTTCACATAGCTAACGTAAAATTGAGTAGTGCACTAATTGGATGCAACTATCAATAAAAAAGCAAACAGTTTATATTTTTTACACGTTATTTTGTTCAATATGAATGCAAAGATTGTTACTGCTCTTGTATCTAAGAAGAAAATAATACCATTGATTAATTAAGAATAACAATAAATTTGAAACGTTTTTCAAAAATTGAAACGATTTATTACAATTTTAAATTACTATTTTTTTTTTTTTTTAATATCAATTCAAAGCAAGTTTTATTAATTCTTAATTTTTCTAAAGTTGTTACAAATGGATCTGTCTGTCCCCCATTTGTTCTAAAGTTCTCAATTGTGCTAAGGTGAAACTCATTATCTATTGATCGTGTTTTCACGTAAACGTGTCATTGGATCAAAAAATATATCTACACGAGAAAACTATAAACACAAAAGTAAATAAATTTATATATACGAAATAAGATCATAAAAAGTATTTTTTTTTTCCAATTGATGAAAATTCAACAGGGCTTTAAAGTCATTATTTGCAACAAATTGTGCAATAAACATAGTTGTCTTAAAAATTGTAAAAATCGACGAATAAGTATAAAAATAATAACGAAACGATTATTTATCGTGTTATTACAAGTAATTTAAATTTTGCAAGTAATTTTAATTAAATGAAGTGGGACAAAAAAAGAGTGGAAAAATAATCGAGGGATTTCATTTTATTTCCATCTCGTTTAACTTGCTCGTAATTTAATATATAAGCTTCGATTGACAATTTTGTGTATTAGTTTTGGAATATTTTGAAATCAACTCTCCAACTCTTCCGTGTAGACAGATGTGGCAGTGGGCCACTGGTGGCCAGTAGAGAACAGTGAGAATTCCGCGACTAGCCATGACCCATATACCCACCCTCGTCGCGTCACTATTGGCCAACCCCCATCGCTGGTGGAATCACTAGCGCTCGAATACGAGGAGAATACAACGCGTGATTATAAAAAAAATTGCTAGAAAATTATTTCTTGCAATGAATATTCTATTGGAATGGAAAAGATTCCAGAAACTTTTTTTATCCAACGGATAAATTTATAAATTTTTACTTCTAAATAATAGCTCGATTAAAGTTTGAAGCTTACGTTTACGTTAACGAATGTGAAAGAAAAAGCAAAACGAGTGAATGAGAAAGAGAATCGAAATACTGTAAAGAATATATATATATATATATATATATATATTGGTGAGTTAATGTAATAATGTAAAGATAAATTTTTTTGGGGGGGGGAATGATTGAAATTTTTATGAATTTATAAGATTTAAAAAAAAAAGACGCGATTTGAACAATTCATGAATCATATTTAATGAATGATAAATTTGTTCATTTCTTTCTTTATTTATGAAATAAGTGAATATAAGTCACGTTTGAATTTATTTTAACCAGAGAAACTTTGCAAATATTGTTCGTATTTCATTTAAAAAAAAATAAATAAATAAATAAAAACTAAAAAATTTATTGGTATTAGTATTGTCTTACTGATATTTAATCTCGGATCGGGTTACATTGTTCGTGAGTCGAGTTTCGTGACGTGTCAAGGGTAGCTTCTGCAAGTGGTAGAGATAAATTTTTTTGCAATTACGTTGTAAACCGATTCCATAGCGTCTTCTTTGATTAAAATAGTCTATCTTTTTTATTTTATTTTTGCCATTTTTTTCTGTAAATTATTTATATAGAATTTCATATAAACAATTAAAAAATTTACATAAACTTTATTTAAGAAACTTAAATTTAGATTATTCTTTTTCAAGATGGTATTAAAAAATAATACAATTTCTTTAGATTTCTAGTAGATATAATATTTTAAGTGAGAAGGAAGGAATGGTTGCGAACGTCGTAACAGGAAGGTCGTAACACTCGTTAATCAGGATCGTGAAAATGTCATTGCTCGAAATAACGAATTCGTCTAAACAAATTGCTTCCAACGAAAAACGTTTA